ATTTCAATATAAGGAATTATTTACTATAACAGAGGATTAGAGTGCTGAGAGAGTGGGTAATAAAAAGTTAAAGAGAACTCTGAAGAATACAGGAAAGAATATATGAGGAGCAGCCATTAACCCGAGGGCTGAGGTAGATCCCTCCCCCCCGCCCCCCCCAAAAAAGTTGCCGAAGTGCTGTGCTGGTAGGACTTGCTGGAAATCAGCTATCAGGGATGCTGGAGAGCATCGTATGCAGGGAGCTACTGCATGCCTCTCAAAGCTTATTGCAAAGCAGCCCAAGGGAATGCCAAGGGAAACTGCTAGCCACTGTGTGTTGCTGGCTGCAATGTGCTATACGACTCAGGCGCTGAAGAAGCTGCCCAAACTGCAGGAGCCTGGTGCCTGGGAAGCAACTTGTGGTCCAGGAACTGGCACTGGAGATGCTTTGCAAGCTGAAGGAGCCTGGTGAGAAGAGCAAATCAGAACTAAAAGGAGAAACGCCTTCCTCCTATAGTGTCTTACCAGCTCCCTCTAGTGACAAAGTTGAGCATTGCTTCACATGGAAAAGGAGAAATATACAGGACTGTGCTCCATTCAGTATTAGATAACCCACACAGTCCACCCCTTTGGAGACTCAACTTCCAAATCCAACCTTCTATATACATTTGGACTTCCATACAATATACCAAGTTCGTATTTTCGCCTAATGAGATACAGCTGTCTTTCTTACAAGTGAAGACGTTCTCACCCTCTCTCCAAAATGAGATATGCAGTCCCAACAGTCTATACTAAATACTTCTCAGATTTTGTCATAGTCCCATGGAATATGCTTTTACCTAAAGACTAAATTGTAACACTAACTTCCAACAACTTACATATAAACTTACATATAAAACGAAAATAAGAAGAGAGAAAAAGGTATGTACAAAAACACCATATATACTTAACAGAGGGAAAATATGCAAAACCGCTACAGTCCTTGTTTTTATAATTGGCCACAAAGCTGTTTTAGTAGGCACTAATGATTTTCTAACTGCCTCATTCCTTCTACATTTATTAGTTGGCAATCTACTATAAGGAAGGCCTGTCTTGTCTCCTTTGTTTTTATTCATTTATTCATTTATTTATATTACTATGGACTTATGTAGTCTTACTTTATTCATTGGGTTATTATGTGTTCCTGTTATATTTTATTTTGATGTTCTGCAGTTGGCAAATGGGGAGCCCTTATAAACTGAATCCTAGTCCTTTTGACATGTCCCCATCATTCTTTGAGTACTTCCTTACTTTCTGGCAGAAGATGTTCTAGGATCATCTTGAACTTACTCAGCCCCAGTGGTAGAATCAATCATTTCTCCAAGGAGCCATGGATCCTTTTGTGGAGAATGGTATTGAGAAATCAATATCAGAGTGTTAAATGTGCTTATTCCTATTGGAGTAGTATAGCTTCTAGGCCCTTTGAGTAGACACAGTTGGGGAATATGTGTGTTTGTGTGTTCATGTATATACATACACATGTATACATGTACAGATACACATATGTAACACATACATACATTTACAGCTAGATTTATTTCTATATCTAATTATCTGTATATTAACAACCATGACTTTCATACTTGCTATAAACTGAACTGTGTCTCCAAAATTCATATGTTGAAGCTGTAACCTTCAATGTGTCTCTTTATGGAGTAAGGAAATATTTAAAGTTAAATGAGAGTTTCCATAAGAGTGGAGCCCTGATTTGATAGGATTCATGTCCTTATAAGAAGAGACACCAGAGAGTTCATTCTTTCTCTCTCCATTATGTGAGGACACAGCACTCTGTAAGCTAGGAAGAGAGCTCCCCCCAGAAACCAAATCAGCTGGCACTTTGATCTTGGACTTCCCAGCCTCCAATACTGTGAGAAAGAAAATTGCTGTTGTTAGGCCACCTAGTCTGTGGTATTTGTTATGGTAGCCTGAGAAAACTATTATAATACTGACCTTTAGTTAATCTATATGAATGGTGTTTTCGTTTGTTCGTTCATTTGTTTGTTTTAGTGTTTCTATAATGTAAACTGTTTGTCTGGTTGTAAGTTCTGAGAAGAGGCTGTAATAAGTTGTCTTGTGTAATGTCTTAAGCAGAAGGGCACTTTTTTTTAAAAAAAAAAAATTATAATGACCAGAATCATTTATCAAGAAGAACAGAGCTGACTCAAAAGTCACACTATTGCTTGTCAGCTGAGTGTAAAAGTTCCCCCTGCTCTCCCCAGAACAGGACTGACAGCAACAACAAACCCATGGGAACATGTCTCAGCCCCACTGGGGGACTATTTGTTATTTGAACAACTCCTGCAGGATAGAGGGGGAAGGAGCGGAATACTGGCTTAGCATCTGCATCCAAAAGTGCTGCACCTCTACAACCTCACTCCGTCCTCATAGCAACGCTAGCCGGTGGGTACGATTATCCCTATTTTATATATGAGAAAATAGAGTAGCAAAGAGGTTAAGTCATTTGCCTAAGGTTGAATATCTAGAACCCCTTTCCTAGACTTAACTCCCCTAAAAACCAGCACTTTGCTGAACCATCATGGAGCCTGGGGCAAAAGGAAATATGTGTACCTATATATGCACTTATCAAAATAGCCTTCATATTTTGAACTAAATGGAAGAAGAGACTAAAAGTTCTAAAATCAGAAAACATGATCTAGTGTTGTCCAGTCCATTCTCACACTATTGTCAACCCTCATAAAGCCAACTGGCAGGGGACACAATGGTGACCTGCTTGGGAACTATGGGCTAATTGGAAATGACTGTTCCCATTGCAGAATGATTCAGGGTCATAAAACAAACAAAAGCTTCCTTATTTTAAATGTTGATATTTTGTTCACCATAGATATTTTGCATTAATTTTAATATTTAAAAATATTACATTAAAATGTATCTTTATTACTGAGTTTTTTGGTGCCCCCTTAAATATCACACCTAAGAAATTTTTCTCACTGGCCTCGCCTTAACCTGATTCCTGGTAAAACCAAGCCTTGGCCTGAATTACTCCAAGGCTCCATTCCCCAGAGTTGACTTTCTCTAAACAGGACCCTGTTGCGGGGTGGATCCCAGATCTCCTACTCCTTCATGGCCTACATAACTGTGAAAGTGTCCCATCTTCTCATCATAAATACTGAACTATAAAGATATAACAAAAGAAATGGTTCCATTGTGTGGTAAGCGCACGGTCACATGCCTGCAAAAATGTTTACAGACTCCAGATATTCTTCACCCAGCCTTAGTCACATATGACCTAGAAGCCACAAGTTTCAGATTCTTACCATGGTATATTCATCTGAGCTCATGGTGTCAGAATTCCTAGGCTCTGCAAGCACCAACATGCCAAGAGTGTAGCCTTCCCATTGCTTAGGATGGATAGAGAGAGTCCCTGGTTCAGAAGCCCAGTGTCCTGGTTCAGGATCAGCACAGTACCCTCCTTAGCCAAGCAGTTGGCTGAAAGGCTTTGCCGCAATACTTGCTATTGGAGATGAACACTGCTGATTTCTTTGCTCTTTTCAATATTTCCCCAGGGCTTCAGGAAAAACAAAGAGAAGCCACTGTTCAACTACAGCAAAGCACTTGCTGATGTTGTTTTTGTGCAGGACAGAAAGAGGAACTGGAGACCAAGGGATGAGGAAGAACAGCTCCCAAAGATATCTTCCACCTTGCAAAAAGGGATCCTCAAATCCTGGTGTGCTGGCGCTTACTCTTTTCCCCTCGGAACTTTAACGGAAGAGAAATTAAATGACTACAAAGCTCAGCTCTATAACAAAAGAAGTCAGGGAGACCTAGCTGTCTACCCCTAGGCCTCCTTCCTGACCATTTGTGAACCAGTGCACAAACAACCCCTAATCTTCCAAGGAAGCAAACAAGCATTTATCAAGAGCCATCCTGGACACCCTGAATCCACTCCTGACTCCTCCAATCCAAGTTCCAAGCTCTAGCCAAAGTGACCTTCTAAAAACACAAATTTGTCATAAGGATGAAATGAGCTAATACTTGTAAAGTGCTGACTGCCATTATAGGCACATAGTAAGTGCTATACGATGGCTATTAAATAAATGCATATAATGCTATTGCCCTCAGAGGATCTTCAGAAGAAATGGAAACTTCTTCACTGCCTGCCTCTGCCTTCTTCTTCCCCACTACTCTCTCCCTTGCTAGCCCTACTCCAGACTTCATTTTAAGTCCTCTTGAGTCAAGCTATCTCCTGGCCTTAGCACATACTATTCTCTCTTTCTTAAACACTCTTCCCAAACCCACTTCTCTTCATGTGACCATCTTCATCTCTGTCATATCTCAGCTTAAATGTTATTTCTACCTTCTAGGGCATCTCAGAGGGAGCTTAGATTCCTCCATTTTACCCTCATAGTCATAATATTTATCACAATTGTAATCACAGCTAAATGTTTTAGGCTTTTTAATGTCTGCTTCTCTTACTAGACTGTAAATTGCCCCAGGGGAAGGGCTTATAGGTGTCTCACGTTCACTATCAAGAAACTCGGAGGAGGTGGGTCCCTAATGCGCCATTGTCGAATGAATAAAACCTTTTTAATACTGTCTCATTCAGGTAACTGGCCAAAGGTCGCACACTTAATATAAGATTTGAACCCATAACATTCTGGCCTTAAGGCCCAAGGTGTGACCACCGCACTATCCTTTCCCTTCCCTCTCCTTCCCTTTCTGCCCCTTCCCTTCCCCTTCCTCAAAGCTGGAACCAGAATGTAAGTGATCGGGGAGATGAGTTTAAGGAGCTGCAGGTCTATCTGCTGAGGGACGCACGCTGTAAGGAACTCGGAGCGGTGCGCACAGGCCTAGGGCACATGGAAGAGGGTACCCCTCACGTGTACGCTGCAGGGACAACCACCGCCGCACCCCAGGGAAGGAATGCGGCCCTGCCCCACAACCGCGCCAGCGAAACCGCGCTCTCCCTGGGGACTGACGTCAATGAAGGGGCTCCTCCCAGCGCTACGCGAGGGCGGTCGGGGGCGAAGGGAAGGGGCCCAAGTGACCACGCCCCTTGCTGTTGCTCCACCGCTGATTGGACCTGGGAGTCTTCGCACTCGGGTTTCGAGGCCGAAGGAGGGAATGGGCGGAGCCAGAACACGCCCCTCATCCCTCTTAGGTCGCTGATTGGCCCACGGAGTCTCCGCGTTCGATTTCGGGAGGTTCTAGGCAGAGCTCACACCAAGGCCCGGCTGAGGATTGGCTGTTCCAAGGCTGGGGAGCGCTTTCTCCGGGGAACCGCGGCTGTGATCTCGGCGACCCGCCTCGGGCAGCCGGGTACGTAGGTCCGCGACCCAGCTCGCGCTGCGCTGGGTGCGGGCGGGAGTGCGAGCCGTCAGAGCCGGGGTGCTGCCGGGACCCAAACCCCCAGATCCACCTAGGGCCCGTTGTTGTGAGAAGCGCTACGTCTGAGCCTCGGGGGCCGACCCTTGCTGGGGATGTCGCTGTGTGACCTCGTCCAGGATACCCCCTCCCAAGCTCTCATCCTCTTGGTGAACGCCGCCTCGTTCTTGTGAGCACCTTCGCAGCAGAAGCCCAGAGCTGCACCTGTCTTCTCGGAAGGCCGGGCAGGGATTGGAGTAAGCACATCTTAGTTCGCCCATCCCGATTTGTGGTCTGTTGGCGCTGCAGTTGAGCGTGGTGAGTAATCGCTCTAACTCCCCGCGGGGCTATGGAGTGCGGAGGGCACAGAGGGTGGCTTGGGAGACTCGACTTTCAATCCCTGCGCCTTCCAAAACCGGCAGAAGCATATAGCAGGCTCCAGGAGGTTTCAGAGCCTCCTGGGTCCTTCCTCTGACGACCTCGGCAGCCATCTGGCGGGAACAAAAATAACAGTGGTTGAGAGAGTGGGCGCTGGGGTTAGACTATCTGGGTTCATATTCCCAGTCTTATTACCTACCACCTGTGTGACTTTGGGCAAGTTACTTAAGCTTCCTGAGCTTAGCTTTCTCATCTGTAAAATGGGTGTAGCGATAGTGCCTCCTCATAGGGCTGTCATGAGGATTAGAGATCACCCGCCTAAAAGTACTGTTTTGCACATGACTTGGAGCAAGGTACCTAAACGGCAGCTATGATTTAAAGTCCCCCAATGACTCCATCTCCCTTTACCCTTATCTTTCAAGAGCGAAGACCCCTTTTGAGGGAGTTTCAGATAGTGGTGATGATGAAAATGACCATGATTCTACGGGCCCTGGTGGTTAAACAGTCTTTTCCTTACACCATTCATTCATGAAATAATGTACTGGGATGGATGCTTTCGCATCCTTTATGTCGTTATCCCCTTAAGGGTTATTTATTCTCACTATTTTGATGATGAGTAAACTGAGGCAGGGGAAAACTGAGCCTTGTCAAAGGACACTCAGTCATCAGTGGCACAGCCAGAATTCAGAGTTCTTGAACACTTAAAAATAATTATTCCTAGATTTAGTAGGAGTTTTTTTCCAGGTCATATCTGAGAATTAGTCTGGGGAAAGGGCCCAGTTTCTTTCTCCACTCCCTGGGACACAGATTTGGAGGCCAATGTATGTCGTTTCTTTCAGGCATGCCTGGCCAAGGCCAGGCCCTTCGGGGTGGGGGGCTCACACGGCCACTGGGACTGAGCCTACCACTTGAGGAGCCACAGATTTTGGCTGCTGTCCAGTGGCATGTCTGTATACGGAAGCAGGCCAGGGACACAAGTGTTGATTTGGGCCTTGGGCCAGAGCCTCCGGTTCTTTTTCTAAGGGGCCCTTGGCCTCAGGTTACAGATGACCACCACCACCACGATTATCTGAAGGGGGTGAGCTGAGTGAGGAGCCAGTTGCTGTGTAGCTCACACAAGTGTGTTCTGCCTCTCATAGTTACGAGTGCTTCCCTGAGACCACTGTGAGTATGTGTCCAAACTGAGCTTCAGACATTACAAAGAATGCTCAGTTGTGCACCATATTTATATATTGCAAATTCATTGCATGATGAGTCACTTTTTAAATATATTTCTTTGTTAGAGCTCTACAGTTCATTTATTGCCTGTTTCAAAACAAGTTGAACTTTGTCATTTTCAACATTTGGTATTTACTTTGGGGGTTCATTTTTTTAACCTAGTTTGTGTCAAACTGAAGTATTTTACAGTTAATCTTTACTCATTTGCTCACAGACCCCTGCTTATCTTTTATGTCAGCTCTGAAATGAGAGATTCATTTGTAAACTTTTAATAGCCCTGTGGTTTCATTTTCCAGTTTAAAGAGTACCGCTTTTCAAGTATACACTGACTTTCCTAGATTCAGGTCTTCTCCAGGAAATGAGGGAGAAAGTAACTATTGAACAGACCGAATGAAAAATTTCTTCTAATAAGTGTTCTGTTTCAATTTTTCTAAAGTTTACAATCTAATCCTTCCCGATAGCCACTGATTATCAGCCTAACTGCTGTCTATCTTGGGGTGGGAGGCAAAGCCAAGACCGAGGGGTCTCAAAATCTGGAGGTGACCCTCCCAACTAGGCTCATGCAGGGTATGGTTGAGGCTGGAGTCTCAGACTCTCCCTGATAGTTATGGTTTTTCATTAGTGCATTTGTAACTCATTGTAACTCCATGGCTGGCGGTAGGGCCTTGCAGAGCCTTGCAGCCCTGGCAGAGTTGGCTGGGGCTACCTGAGAAGTCAGGCTCCAAGCCATTTCCTCCCTGAGGCAGCTGTTGCTGTTTGATCCTGTTGCCATTCAGAGGAAAGGGTGAGATTACCTGAGTCTGAGAGAAAGGACATCACACTTCTCCCATCACCCAAACCCCGCTAGGAGTCTGTCCCAGGCTTGGCCACAGCCATCCTAGGTTGCTAGAGTGCTTTAGAGCAGTGAGTTTTGTCTACCAGACCCTAACCTCACAGGCCATAGCAGCAAAACAGTATCTTGCCTCCATGGAACATTGAGAAGGGGAGCTGCTAGTAGGGGAGTTTTCTGGCACCTAATTAGCTAGACCTGTCCACACATGTTGCTGCGAGGCCCTGGCAGATGAGCAAACCCATCTCTGCTTTGGTACAGACCTAGCCTCCTCATGAAATCATTGACTCTCAACACTGGCACACACCCTCAGAGACCATCAGCATCAACCTGTTCTTACAGATGTAAGAGAGAAATCAACCCACAGAGGCATGCAAAGTGCCTGAGGCCTCTTAGCCAGTGAGTGGCAGAACTGGGGCGAACCCAGTACTGATTCATAAGCCAGTGCTCTTTGCCTTGAGCTGGGTTGCAGTTCCGGATTTCTTTTGTGGAAGCAGGGGATCTTCCTCATTAGAGTGTCACGGATCCAAGGCTGGGGCAGCCTGTCACCCAGAGAACAGCCTGACATTAGTAAAAAGATTAAAATATATTCCACGCCCATCCCTGCCTCAAGTGTGATATAGTCAGTGTTCTTCCTTTCCATTGGTGTGTTTCCCTCTTTGTGAGTTAGGTAGGAATAGTGAAGTACTCTTCACAGAAATGATGGGAAGAGAGGTGCTTTGAGCTGGTTCTGGCCTTGGCTAAGCCACTGGTACTTATATCTGTGTCTCAGCTTCCCTTTGTTCCTCTGTGACCTGGAGTGAGGATAACAGTGCCTGATTCTTAGAATTGTTTTAAGGATGAAATGTCATACATATTGCCTGGTTAGCAGAATAAATACCCCATAGTTAGCTTTGATTTCTCTGATCAGCCTGCAGTTGTTACTTGGTGACTGCTGTTTTCTGGTCACAGTATATTTATATCATCTAGTTCTGAGTTTTTAATTACCAGACATATTAGGTTTTAACTGGATTCCCATTATAGTACCTAAGGCAAGAAGTTTTAAAATGGTCATTTTCCAGATAAGCACAATTTTTATGAAATTAATTTATCTGAAAGTCTTCTGCAGGTTTATTTTAGTTACTAAATCTTTTGAAAAGATAGTGGGTTCTTATGATAGAAGGCCTAGAGAGTGGGGCAGGGGAGTGTGGAAATTACTGGAATGAGAAGAGTGACTATTGAGGTCAGGAGGAGGGAAGGCCAGGGCAAGGGAGGGAAGCTCATTTCTGGGGAGTCTGAACAGGATGGAGTGATGGCTCAGACTTTCCAGAGAACAAAAGGCATGTGAGAGTAAGGGCTATTTTTGTAAGTGGGCTGAGGATAGGAAACCAGTAATGCTTTTATTTATATGATTCTGTTTGCATTTTTTACAATGAGCATGTACATTTTAACTTATTTCCCCCGCCCCCCTTTCTAAGCTGGTTGCTGGTTGACAAGATATCTCTGTAGCTAGCTGTGGAATGAGGTCTGACTTAGCAACCAAGCCGTCCCCCATTAGGCCCGGAGCTGTGAGGATTAGAGGGAGCAAGGCAGGCCCTTAGCTGTCTCAGGCTGATTGCTTGGAGGAAAAGGGAGTCCATATCACACCCCTGATCCAAGTACAAAAGGCCAGGATGCCAATACGAGGGGTATACGCACTTATTTAGCTCTTATTGGGTAATAGGTACAAACTAAACTCATTTAATCTTTACAACAATCCTGGGAAGCGATTAATAGCTCCATTTGACAGTTAAGCAGACAGGCTTGTAGAGGTTACAGAGAAGGCAGCAGAGCTGGTATTCATCCCAGTTCTGTGGAATGCCAAAGTCCTTCATCTTTCTTGTCTCCAGTCTGTTCTCTAATCCCATGGCTTTTTCAGGCTGTACCAGAGACAGCGATAAGGTGGGTGAGCCTTAAAATATAGTTTATTTACAGTTCAAAATAAACTGTAGAACTGAGGGAAATGCTTTAATTTTCATTTCCTGGATATAGTTGGGGGACATTGACATGAACCTAACTTTTATGGAATTTTCTTAAATGCTTCGGCCTCTGCCCTGATACTAATTCTAGCCCTGTAGCCTCTTCTGCCCCTTTTCTCTCTGTGGTCCTTTGGACTGTAGTTAGATCTGATTGGTCTATTTAACAGTTCGTTAATTTATATGGACTTGGTTCATCCCCAAGTCTTGAAAATAGGGAGAGAGATGACTCTTGTCAATTTTAGCAGAATAGTGGTATAGCAAGTGGCCCAGGTGTTTCTGCCTTGGGGCCTCTTCCTGCGCAGCCTTCCCAAGGAATATGTGTATCTTCACTGAGTCATCAGAGCAATCCTGCCAAATAGGTACTAGTACAGCTGATGTGTATACAGGAAGCAGCTGGGGTGTGGAGGGTTGCCAGCAAGTGGTGGAGGCAGCTAGAAGGATTCCAACCTGCATCGCCCAGCTCCACAACCCCTCTCTTACTTCTGTGCTGCAGAGCTTGGGCCTCAGTATCAGAGATCTGGATTCTGTTCCTCAGTTTCCTCATCTGTGAAGTGAGGAAGATGAAAGTACCTACCACATAAGGCTGCCGTGCTCACATTTCAATGTTAGGTAAATACAGCTCTTCAGTGGTGCCTGACACACGTTAAATGCTCAACACATTTCAGCTGCTGCGCTGGAGTTATCATTAGGACCTGAGTATCCTGGGGACTGCCTGGACTTTAGAGCTGGACAGACCTGGGTTCTACTTCTGGCTCTGCACTTACCCAAGGCTTTGTGACTACAGGAAAGTCATTTAACCTGAGTCACATTTCTTCATCTGTAAAGTGGGGGTAAACAATTCTTACCTCACAGGTTTCTGTGACTCAAGTTAATCCATGTGTCAGGCACATAAGCACTCTTTAATGAAGTTTGATTTTAAGATAAGACGTACACCACTTTGGATCTTAGAGAAACACCAGAGGTCCTTGCATTAGTCAGGACACCCAGGTTTGGGAAAAGCTTGCTGAGCTGCTGATGTCTCTCCATGCTTTCCTTCCTCAGAGCACCTAGGATGGGCACCCCAGCCTCTGTGGTGAGCGAGCCACCCCCTTGGCAGGCCCCAACTGAGGCCCGGGGCCGCAAGCAGGCCTCAGCCAACATCTTCCAGGATGCTGAGCTTCTACAGATCCAGGGCCTGTTTCAGCACAGTGGGGACCAGCTGGCTGAAGAACGGGCACAGATCATCTGGGAGTGTGCCGGGGACCACCATGTGGCCGAGGCCCTGAGGAGGCTGCGCAGGAAGAGGCCTCCAAGGCAGAAACCCCTGGGCCACTCGCTACACCACTGCAGCCGGCTCAGGTGGGTTCCTGGGACTGGAGGGCTGAGGGGTGAGAGCACTAATGATGTCTGTTCCACAATTTCCTGGTTGTGGGACCTGGAGCTACCAACCTGGCTTCACTGTAAAAGGCTTACCATTGGGGTTGTGGTAAGGTCTACACAGTGCCTACCACATGGTTGGCCCTTAAAAGGTTGCTGTTACAACTGAAATCATATGACCCTGTGAACTTCGAAGGGAAGGGGTGCCTGGGTCCTATCAGTGCCACCTCATTTCACAGTGATTCTCAACCAGGTACAAGAGACTATTATTTGGAAAGGAAAAAAAAAATCCTGTTTACCTATTACTGAACAGGTAACATTCAAAAGTCAGCCTGGTAAAACTTTTAGATGTAAGATTACAGATAATATAGCATAGGAAAGTACTGTAGAGAAATCAAAGATTAAAAATTGGTTGCAAAATTTTACCTTAAACTTTCTCTAGCCATCTACCTCTTTGCTTAGGTCACTGCCAGTCCAGGAACAGGGAGCCCCCAGAAATCAAGCTGAACCATATGGCCTAACCATTACGGGTATACTCTGGGCTCCATTCCTCTGCTGCCTTCTCTGGGTCCCACAATCAGAACATCAGACCTGAACAGGCCTTCTGAGATCATCAACTCCATATTAACTCCCTACTTAACACACCTTGCTAAGGGTACTTGGTTCCTCCAGTCACATATCATGACTGATTAATGGTGTCTGCCATGAGTACAGGATAAGGAAGATAGAAAAGGTTGAATGTTGCACTCCCTGATCTAGTCCAACTCTCTTTACAGATGAGAAATCTGAAAGCTTTGCTTTGTCGCGTAGCTCTCAGGGGGCAGAGCCAAGACCAGAGCCCCGGTCTCATATTGCCCCGATAGTGTTTCAGTAGTTCACATGACCAAAATCTCTTTTTAGTCCCCATTTTGTTCTCCTATTAATGGCCTATTACATGCTTGTTCTCTGCAGAACCCCAGAGCCCCGTGCTCCACAGGCCAATCCACAGAGCAGTGCCACTGAGATGGCTTCCAGCGATCAGTATCTGAACTCTCGGAGGACAAGTGCCAGGATCCGCCGGAACTGGAGGAAGCCAGGTCCCACAAACTACCTCCATCAGATCAGACACTGATCCAGGGAAAGGGCTGGGAATGGCAGTATCTTCCCCAAGAATCATAGGGACTTTTGCCAAAGAGCCTGGGGAGGTGAAGAAGGAAGAGACTTGAGGCAGACAGCACCCCATACTGCTACGAGCCTGCTCAATTCAGAACAGGACTGAAGGTGTCCAGTGAGCTCTACATTATATGGGGCCCATCCTCACCAGGAAGAGAAACAGAGACCGTTCTTGCCTTGGCCCTTCCTCATCTAACACTATAGATGGGCTGCATGATATTCCCCTGGGAGTCAAGTGACAGACACTCAAGACTGAGCATCTCACCACTCCTGCTGTTAACCCTCCTGCTACTACTACGACCCATGGTCTAGCAGCCTGTCCCACACCCCTGCCCCTGTCATGCCACACAAGGAAACTGTGGTTTAAGTGGCAAAATAAAAACATTTGCATCAAGAACTGTGTATTTGTCACAGAAGGGGAGAATCTTGAAATGGATGCTCTGGAGCCAAGGGCTGTGGGGTTGGGCTCATCACAGGGAAGGGGCGTGTGTTCCCAGGAAGGAGAAAATAGGGCTGGCCCCCTGTGCTTTCTCACCGCCATCCCTTAGAGCCCCTGTGCTGAGGCCTTCTTTCCCAGAAGCTATCGATGGGGAAGATGGAAACCTCTCTGCATACAGTCCTGATCCACAGAAGAGAGGGTTCTCGGCCCCTGGCCAGCTCTAGAAGAGGGAATGCTATACAGTCAGCCCCGCAGAGTAGGCAGTGAGCCTGCAGTCTCAGTGGTGGATACCAGCTCCTCAGCTGGATTCTTCATCCCCATGGGCCAACCATCCACAGGTGGGTCAACAGCTGGACCAATCATTCTTGAGCTTCCTGCATTATCCAAGGTTGCCATAACCTGAAAACCCGAGGTGAGGATTTTTATTACTATTCTGGCTTCATCTCAAAAGCAGCATACCATGTGCTCATTTGCATTTAGCTCTCCTTCCACCCATGCTATCTGCTTGATTATCCATCACTTAAAGAGGCCAGAATTCAAAGTGCTCCAAGCAGGTAGTGATGCACATACAGAGCAGGACTGCCCTCTCGTGGCCATGAAGAGAAGCCAGTCCATATTCCTTATCCCAAACCCTTGAGGCTAATTTTGAGATTCAGAATTTTTTCAGCTTTCAGGAAGTAGTCAGTGAAAAATACTGTATAATTTCTAGTAGGGGAACATCCCATAACAAAACAATATTTCTACAGCAAATATTCACACTAATAGGGATATATAATGATTACAAATAGCTTCACATCAGGGTAGGTTCAGGTCAGTTTTGGTATCAAAGGAGTTATGAAAATATTTTTGGTTTTCAGAGCATTGAGACTTTGGAAATGAGGACCTGTATTTCTCCTACTAAGGAAAATAGACTCAGGAGCCCTAACTCAGCAACTACATAGAAATGCGGTGTTCTTTGTCCTTAAAATTGCATTCTACTTTGTCTACCTTCCACCAAAGAAAACTAGACAAAAAAAAAGGTCAGAATTGGGCTTGTTATTCATACATTTGCATTGATTTAAATACATTACATACAATTTCTACAGTGCATTAGAAGAACAATACAGAGGCAGCAGGACTCTCATAGCCCAGCCTCCACTCCCTGACATTGGGGGTCAGGGTCTATGGCTGGCAGAGGGCTGGGTGGTTCTGAGTGCCACCCATAAGCTTGCCTTGGCACTGGGCCCCTGGCTCTCCCAAAGCCCACAGTCAAGGCAACCTGAGTACAGGCTTCAGGCAGAATGGAGACAGGCCAGGAAAGGATGCCCCCCACTGTTTCACCTGCCAGAAATGTGACCAGCCCCTCGTACGCTGGACCCAGCTTTCCTTCTCCTCACAGAGCTGGTCAGCTTGGCTTGGGGAGCAACCAGACTCCCTCTTCAGACTCCTCAGGCTCTCCTGACACTCAGGTGGAGCTTTATCGCACGTTTCTGTAAAGATGTCTATGGAAAGCTAAACTCACCTGGGTCCCCTTCCAGCCTCTGGGAGCCCTGCTGCTCCTGCGTTCTGAAGGCAGGCATTCTCACAAACATGGTCCCCAAAGCTAGTGTCCAGGTTGGCTGACCAGGATTGTCAAGGCTGGGGCTGGTGAAGGAGCTGTGCTGTTATCCACAGTGCATGCATATCCAGCTCCCAGAGGCTCTTGTCAGCTGGGTGAAAGCCCAGGACAAGCTGGCTCCTGGGGGCTGGAATGGAAGGACACCAGCCTGGCCTAGCTGACAAGAGGGCTGTACATCTCTGCTCTGCCTCCTAGATGGTGGGGCTGGGCAAGCAGAGGGCACACAGCCATAGTCCTTACTCCCTTTCTTTGGTTGTTTTTCAAACCTTCAAGATAGTTTCTTTCCAAGGCTGATTGACTAATCGCTGGGTGCCAGACACTTGAAGTATCCAGTAGCACAGGGCTGCGCCTTAGCCACAGATAGCACCCTCTTTACTCCCTCCTGAGGCCATTCTTTGCTTTGGTGTAGAAAGGGCTCGGACACCTGGCAGGGGAGACAGTTGAGGGAAAAGAAACAATGGAAGCAGGAAGATGCACTGAGCTGGGCAGGCACTGGGGAACAGTTTGAAGGCCTCTCTCCTTTAGGCCCCACCTTTCTCAATAAGCCATAGAAAAACTGGCCCAGAACAAGAAGTCAGGGAGCAAAGGGCAGCTACCAATTAGGAGGCAGAATACGAGTCCTATTACCTCCACCAAGCAGCAATGGTAGCATAAAAAGAAGTCCAAGGATCTAATATTGTTCTCTTATGAGCTGAGACCCACTCCACAATCCGAACTGGACCCCTAAGTCAAGAGTTGAGGAAAAAAATATCTAAAACAACAGAAACAATATTAGTGGACTCAGAAAGCAAGACTGGGGTAAGTTTGCCCACTGACCAATTACAGCTCCCAGCGTACACTCAGACCACATGGATCACTTGTGCATGCTGGGGAGTCTACGTCCTCCCTCCTGCCTTTGCCTGAATGAGAGGCAAGCTGCAGGTCTGCACTAGAGAAGTTGGGTCCCTAGCAGGGCAGAGAGCAGAGCTGATCTACAGAGTCATATACAGAACTGCTGGGAGGTCTGGAGCTAAAGTACCCCCACCATGCAAATTGGGTCTGGAGGCTTTTCGTCAGTCTATTGCACTGGTGGGAGAAGGGGAAGACTTGGCAAAAACCCAAAGGGAAGGTGTGGCTTCTGTCTGTCCCAGGAGTGTGAGTACCCAGCTGCCTTGGTCCATGGGAGTGGGGAACTGCTAGGCACCGGAATGTCTGGGTCCATGCAAACGTAGGTCTGGATTCAAGGTTTCTGATATAAGAGGATCTGAGATTCTGCCCGGGTTTTCCTAATAGTATTTAAATCTGTCTTTGTTATTTGTTTGTTTCTGATGCAGAATATAATGAGAAACTGCAAGAGAGCAGGGTGTCAGGGAGAAAAGGCAATTACCCAATCTGCCCCCAGGAGACGCTGGAAGGAAGCCATTTCTTCCTGGGCATCTGGATTCCTTGCATGGAGCTCCAGCCCTCCCCAGAACTCAGAAGGGCTCACCAGCACTCACTGTCCCTCTGATTGTGCTTCTCCCAGTACTTGGGAAAGCCCTGAGGCAGGTGGCAAGCAGAGAGGGAGAGTTCTCAAGGGCACTGTTCTCCACTGGCTTCTCTGACTTTTCCTGCAACCTGTTCCCCAGGCTTCCTCCCAGCCCAAGTCTCAGACAATGCGCCTTTGTCTGCCTCTCAGGCTACCACCATGAAAAGAAGGGCTTCCGACTCTGAAAGCTTTGTGTGTAGGACTCGCTAGAAGACCGCTGGTGGGACCGGGCAGTCTCGACAATCACGGGTGGCATCTGGACCAGGTGCAGGGGACTCTTGTTGTCTTTCAAGGCCTGAGTCAGATTTAGGATCTGCAGTGGGAAAAATGAGATTAGTGAGGGAAAGGCATAGGCATTTGGGTCTGCCTCTGAAGGGAGACTGCCAGACAGAGTGTACCTATAAATCAATAAAAAAATAAACAACATACTAATGGAAAATTGTACAAATAGACTACTTATAAAAGTAGAAATATGAGTGGGCAATATATAGAAAATGGAAACCTCTCTAGTCATTTTAAAAATATACATTTTTAAAAATACAAAAAATTTAAAAATACAATAAACATCTTGTTTTTTGCCCTTCTAGTTAGTAAAAATACAAAAGACGACGATGACATAGAGCTGGGGAGAATTCAGAGATATGGATGTAGGGCCTGAAAGAACAATCTTTCAGAAAATTCAGAGAAGAATAAAGGCTTAAACGTGAACAGGCCTTCTGACTCAGCGATTCCATTTTTAAGACTAAGGAAACAATAGTGAACATGCACCAAATAGTTTCGACCAATATAATGCAGCATTGTTTATGAAGTAAAAATGACATAAATGCCCAAGAATATGGGAACAGTTAATAATCTAAGGGATAAAAAGCAAACAATTAAAAAAGATAATTTATTGGCATGGAAAGCTGATCACAATGTTATTAGACAGAAAAAGAAGGAGAATAAGGAACCAGTATTATAATGTGATGCCACCTGTATTTTCTAAAATTCTATCTTCCTATCTGCAGAAAAAAAAAATTTTGGAAGTTGGTGGTGATTATATCTGAGTGAAGGAATTACAGGTGATTTTTATTTATTACTGTTTATCCTTATTTTCTGATTTTCCTACAAAGACCATATCTTTTAAAAAGCCAAGAGTTCAGTTGGATTCTCTCTCTAATGCTATCTCTTCATCATCTTTGTATTTAAATTTTTGGAATAATTTTAGATTTACAGAAAACTTGCAAAGATAGTACAGAAAGTTCCCATATACTATTTACCCAGTTTCTTTTTACATAACTATAGTACATTCAGCAAAACCAGGAACACTGGAACCTTACTATTAACCAAACTCCAGGCTTAATTTGGATTACATTAGCTTTTCCAGTACTGTTTTTTTTCACTTCCAGGATCACATACAAGGATACCACATTGCATTTAGTTCCTTATCAACTTTTGTCTGTATTTTAAAGATATTTCAGACGTGTGTCCATGGGGACACATTTTCTCCCCCTTGTCATAATTAGAATCACCACCATTTATCTACTCTGGCAGGATAATACAAAAGCTGAAGTTGTCGTATGATAGCCTTCTTTAAAGCACTAGATGTTACAGATTTGCGCAGCCAGGCCACAGACATACGGTACAGTAAGCTAGGCTGCACCCTCGAATCACACAGCCTTCAAGCTAAATATCCTTGGCACACAAATGCCACCCATAAAGAGGCAGAGATTCACCTAGAACAGAGGTCAGAAGTTGGAAGTAGATCCTGCCAGTAATTAATTCCTGTTTTACTTACTTGTTTTGGTATTTGTCAGCATCCTACACTGCTTCTAAGAGCCCTGAGTACAAGATCAGGGTAGAGAACTAAAAGGAGGTTCAAATGGAACTGGAATGGATTGTGCAGGAGACCACCCAACTTAAGACACAGAGGATTTTAAACCTGCCCTAGCTGGGTCTTCTTGTGCTTCTTTTGGTTCTTTGGGTTAGAAGCCACCTTTCAGGTATGCTGAAGTATTTGGGATAAAATGTCAGTTGTCTACAACTTACTTTCAAAATATTTGGCCAAAAATAAAATCTATCTAGGGAGGTAGACAAATTATATAGGTATTTAGAGATAGATATTACTCATATAGATAATATATAAAGATATGAGATAAAGCAAATTTAACTAAATAAATGTAACAACTGGTGAATCTAGGAGAAGATTCCACTTTTACAACTTTACTGAGGTTTGAAATTTTTTAAATTACAAAGTTGAAGAAAAATTTATAGCAGGCACATAACGCTAAAAAATAAATACTGTCTTTGCAAATGTTACTTAAAGAGGCTTCCTTTAGACTCTGCATTCTTTATCTAACTCCTTGTTAGAAGCCTTTATGGTGAGTAACAAGTACTACTCAAGTCCATCTCTCTGGGGGTTCTTCACTCTTT